GTCCTAGCTGAAACCTGCGAAACTTCAACCAGCCCTTAACCAAAACGGTGTAATTATTTCCGGCTGAGGAAATGCTTTGCAGTTCGCTTCACACGAGTTGTGCGAGGATCTGCGTCTTGCCAACCCTATGGTGCGAAGGGGGAACAATCAATACTACTACTAGCCACACTACTAGTATAGTAAATCCAACTGATACTTAGTCAAGAAGCCGAAATAAAAAGCATGAGAGGGGGAGATTCTACGTGAAGAGACTGCAGCCTAAAGCCTAAGGAACCCCAAGAACAGTATGGGTAATTATTTCGGCTCCTATACTAAACCCCACAACCCTGAACCTTTCAACCCGCCAGTCGGGCACCCTCAAGTCCTAAACCTTGAGCCATCCTCATGTCATACCGGGCCTTGACAGTCAACTTGACAGTTGTTCCGGGTATTCCAGAATCGACCCTGATCCTCCCCTGATCCGTGAACACGACACCGGTCCTACACCCAAAGCCCTCATTTATTGGGTCGGAATACCCCTTGATTAAGGAATATACCTCAAATTATAGGGTCCCTAATATTTTGATATTATGATTTAAAGTATATTCCATCATTAAGGGGTAATAGCAGCAACAAGTCGTTCTTTCCTTGGTAGCATTCCCACATTCTGGCCTCCAGTGCCCAAACACCCTTAATTCATCGACTCTTGAAGGCCCCGATATAAGCCCTAAACCCTGAAAATGTCGTCGAAGTTGTTAAGGCTCCTATATATACACTAAACCCTAAACCCTCGTCGAAGTTGTTAAGGCCCCTGTGCAACTTAAAATCCTAAACCCTACTCGAAATTGTTAAGGCCCCTATGCAACTTAATCCCGAAGCCCTAATCAAAATTGTTAAGGCCCCTATGTAACTTAAACCCTAAACCCTAAACCCTCTTCGAAATTTGTAAGCCCCTAATATCTCTAACTTAAACCCTAAACCCTTATCAAAACTGTTAAGGCCCCTATGCAACTTAAACCCTAGTCGAGCTCTAAAGCCCTATATAGCCCCTTACAGTCCCCGACTCCCCCAGCCTCCACTTGAAGGTTCATGGGTAGTGATAAGTGGGGTTATAAGTAGGGTTCCTTTAAAGGGTTCTATAGGGTTCTATAGGGTTTATATAGGGTCTAGGGTCTAGGGTCTAGGGGTAGTTATAGGTGGGGTTATAAGTCCCCTAATATGAGGCATAAGTATAGTTACCCTACTTATACCCCCATTTATAACTACCCATGAACCTCCAAGCAGGACCGTACTTTTGTCCTCCGTGCGCTAGCAGCGGGAGGGCCAGCGGCGCCCGCCGTTGCGTTTGCATCTCGGGAGCTCCGAGGATGGAGTTTAAGGTTTAGGGGTTTAGGGGTTTTGGGGTTTTGGGGTTTAGGGGTTTAGGGGTTTAGGGGTTTAGGGGTTAGGGGTTAGGGGTTTAGGGTTTAGGGTTTAGGGTAGTCCTTTGAGGGTAGCGTATAGGAGCCTATATAGTTCCCAATACTGTTGTGTGGAGGTTCCTTAGTATAACTATAGTATAATGGACCGCAGAACCCTATTGTAATTATTAAGGCCCCTATATTCTAGAGTTTTGGTTTAGGACTCAGGGCTTTAAGGGTTAAGGGTTTATACTGTTTAGGGTTCAGGGTTTCTTATTTAGGGTTTAGGGAGTTCCTAAGGCGGAATTAGGGTTTGGGTTAAGGGCTCAGAGTTTATGGGATATCGGGAGTTCCTAAGGGGGAGGAAGAGCTCTTGAAAGGTTCCTCTTCAGGCGTTCCTGTAAGAGTTCCGTTAATGAATGTTTTCAGTTGGCTTGGGGCTTTTTACTGTGTTCGTCGTATAGCTTCGGTTCGGGGTTCTACCAGGCAGGATAGGGTAGTATTATAGCTTCGGTTCGGGGTTCTACCAGGCAGGATAGGGTAGTATTGTTAAAATACAATTCATGATTCAGACCAACCCCGCATGCAGTGGTCTCACTCATTAGGGCTTTGGCGAAGTCTGAACCAAGTTGTAAAGTGTTAGGGGGTCTTTGTGTGACCTTAGGATTGTATTCTGGATCTGTTGAGTTTAAAGCATCTGAAGTTTCAAGATCAGAAGACCATTCGGTTTCGTGTTTGGGGCCTGGGAAGTGGTTCAGGCTGCCCGACATGTATCCTAGGCCTTACATCACGACGGCTAAGGGATTAGTACAAGCATAGGTCAAGTTAGGTTTAGGAATTTAGGGTTCCTCGCCAAGTAACGGAGGGGTTTGTCCTAAGCCCTAAACCCTAAAACCCTAAACCCTAATGTAAGAGGTGCAGTTCAGAGTCATCAGCACGTTTTTGAAGCAGGCAACGCCTGGGGTTACAGA